CGCTTAGCTGTAGTCGCTTATGTAGTATGTTACCATATTTGGGACTCTCTGCTCGTGTACTATAGCTATGCTTCCGGACTCTTCTGGTACTGTCTAGGACAATCCGTACTACTCCAGAACGGTCTAGACAGGTCTATGCCTTACTCATCTCTTACTCATCCTATGGTGCGATACGTCGCAATTCTTTCACCATCGTATTATTCATCGCACTATGGTACATGTGACTAACCACTCTTCGATTAGTCATGGACACTTCTCTGTAGTATATAAGGACTTCAGATTGCGTCCTCCCTCTTCAGTCTTTCCTTACTGACTGAAGAGTGAGTACTTCGTTACCTTTACCTCTAACTTGTAGTTACTTACTTAACCTTTGTAGTCTTGCTTCGACTCTAGGTACAGTTGGTTACTACAATATAGTCTTTCCTTACTGACTGAAGATCTTGCTTCGACTCTAGTCGGATCTAATCCTTGTCTTCACAGCCCCGAGTTTATCAGGGAATGATGCTAACAAGGGGAGGACGATGTACGCAGACGAAGTACGCATCACACCAGCGTAGTGTCAGACTCGTCATCACGCTCATCCTCCGCTCTGCCTTTCCCCTTCCGATCACTGGGCGAAGCCCTGGGGTGCACTACCATAGACGGTGCGCAGGGAGAGGGAGAGCTCTCCCTCTGGACAGCCCCAGTGCAACCTGTGGACACCGACGTCACCAGAGGGACGCCCGCCAAGGACGTTGAGGCAACTTGCGCAGGCGAGGTGACTGCACTAGTCACAGCGGTCTGTAGGGACACCGCGGCCGCGGCGTTGTCTTGGGAATGTGTCCCGACCTCAAGCATGCTACTCGGACGCTGGCGAGACCCGTGGAACCTCACGGGGGGGGGAATCGTCACCCGCTGCAGATCTTTGACCTGCCGCAAGACGCGCTTGGGCCTGCGCGTCTTGGTGGTGGGAGTGATGTCCTCGTCTGAAGAGATCTCGATGATGTTGCCTGATTGAGACTTAGTCGCCTGCACGCCAGCGCGCTTGTCGCCCATGGTAGTGGTGTCCTTGTCTGTAGGTAGCTTGACGACCTCGCGCGTGCTCCAGAGCGCTTATCGTCCGTGGGAGACCCGTCCTCGTCGGAAGAGATGTTGATCACTTCGCCCGACGCGAACGTACTCGCGTGAGCACGAGCACGCTTGCGCTCGGGGAGGGTGGTATCGTCGTCAGAGGAGATGTCGATCACGTCACCCATCACCCACTTGCGAGGGTGAGTGCGACGTCGCTTCATCGCCTTAGTTGCAGGCTTGTCCTCGGTGGAGATGCTAGCACCCTGCCGCGACGCCGAATTGGCGATCTTCCCAGGAGAAGCGTCCTTCCTAGTCTGCCGACCCACGATGACGTTGTTGTCATTGTTGTCGTCGTCAGAGATCTTGATGGGATCCTGGCTGACCCGAGAGGCGGTGCCAGTGCCTGGCTTCATTGCGTTAGCGGTGGGGACACGCCCACCGCGGACACGGGAGGTGTCGGTCTTGAGGGCACTGTGACCAGCCAAAGAGCCACGAGTAAGGGGAAGGTTGGTGGGATGTGACACCGACGCAGACATCACTGTGAGTGGGGGTTGGTCCCCAAAGGTCGGGTAGGAGCGCGCTGCAGCATAGGCAAGGAAAGGGGGCAACTCCTCAGTGCCTGGCCGAAGAGCTTTCGCCAACGTCTTAAGGACACAATCCTCCAGTCCAGGCATGAAACGCACGCCACTTGCCCGAAGGACGAGCCCTTCCTTGATGTTCAAGCGGAACCAGAGCTTGTCGTGCGAGGGATGGAACCATTTCGACGCAATCGGATCGTACACCTCGATCTTGCGATCCAGGTTGCGTGTTCGCACATTCAAGCCAAGGGCTTGCACGAGCGCTTCCTGCCGCATCTTGACAGTGAGCATGTGACCCTCTGGTTGGGCGTCCAACTCAACTTGTACAGGAGGTTGTCCAGACTAGCCATGGCATGTTACTCCTCGCTCATGCTTAGTGCAAGATGTGCGACTCACAACGGTGTAAATGAAGACGTTCCCAACCTTCGTCTGGGACTGGCTACGGCTCTCCGACCTCGCAGTGGAGGGACCCTTCGACGCGCTTGCTGGGTGGGACTCCCCTCCCGCCCGGGAGGTGGACTGGCTGCCTCCCTCGCCCCGTAGCGGGATGAGCTTGTTCACCCACTTGGTATACCGGGCTTGGCGGGGACTGTCCGCAAACACCCACTCACCAGCGGCGTTCTTGGTAGCGAGCCAGTACGACGACCTCGACTTGGTGGAGCGTCGGCACACAAACGGGTTCGGAACGTCACTCGCTAGCAACGACTGCGTGCGGTCGAGCTCCGGGGATCCCTCCCCCCTGTCTGTTGTGGCCTCCATAGACACGGTTGCCAACACGTTGTTGACCAGAGCCTGACGAGATCCAAGGTACTCCATGCACCAATTCGTCAGTTCAGAGGACTCGTAGGGCGCTGGCTCGAGGGTGACGACCTGCAACACGACGGTAACGCGTTCCAGCCCGGTAAGCTGCCTCCGAAAGGACTTGCCATGGATCCAGCACGGATCGCCGTCCTTACGCACGCACTACAAGTGGACGTTAGCCACCTCTCAGACCTTTCATGTACGTCAGAGAGAGAGTTACTCACATCCTCATAAGCGTGGGCGAGGGCATTAGGCTGGGCGGGGTCGTTCACCACAATCGAATCGAACACGATGGTCGGCCCCCAATGGGCAAGGTCTGCAGTGGCTGTGGAATTTGTCCAT